AGTGGAAGAGGATGTTTATGGATGGACAATGCGTTACGATGCATCACTGCCCCTTCATTTGAGGTATTAGATATTGGTTCAGTTTGTACCCCCAGTGTAGAGCTGGAGGAGCTTCTAAGGTAGGATGCTGGATCATCCCTGACTGGCTGCTTGGCCATATCATGGGTTTGTTTGGGATTCTTATCACTGAAACTCACGCCACTTAACCCCGCTGTAATGCCAGCATCTGTAGAAACGTGACGTGCTGCTTCTGGCATCAAGAGTTCATGGCCTGGAAAAAGTATTAGATGTAATTAGTACAAATATGATAACTGAAATCAAACCAATCTTCTATGCCAGATTTGAATGAAATTAAACAAAATAAATGAAGCAGCAGTAGAATTCTGAATTTTTTTTTATAAAAACAAGTAGACGGGCAGCTATAAACTCAATATTTTACAAGTACATTAGCTTTCTGATCAGTTTAATAAGCTAAATGATACTTGATTGGTTGAGATAAAAGGACAAGATATGGTAAGACCCATTTTTGGCCTCTGATTTTGGGTGTCTTTCAGATTGATGCAACAGTTTATCCAGGTTTTGAAATATGCAGAGGTCACAGAGAGGTGAGAAAATAGGTCAATTTTTGAATTTTCTCATTTTATGCAAATTTTCATTGATTTTACAGCACATTTTGTTCCAGAAAATATAGAGCACAAGCTTGCCTATCTATCAAATTTCAATATTTTATCAACGATAATCAGATGCAGTTTATGCGTAAAAATCTTAGATAGGCAAGCTTGTGCTCTATGTTTTCCGAAGAGAAAAGTATGGTATCTCAAATATGATGAAATTCTACCAGAATTGAGGCAGAAATTTGGGAAAATGTCCTACTTCTGCACTCTCGAGTGGCTTCCATGTAAGCTATGAATCCAAATTAGTGCTGGTTTTAAAGCAAGCATCATTTTAAGTTTTTAACTACAAATTATCACAATTGTACCAGTGTTCTGATTTTTACATCAAATAAGGGGCCAGATATGGCCATTAACCTACCTTGTCCTTTACTTAATATTAAATTTATTTTTGCCTACGTAATGTGGTATGAATTTCTAAACAATCCTATTTCTAAAGGTGATGTCACTATAGCGACATATTTTGTATCAACTTATCATTACTATGGAGACTGTTTTTCTCCACATCTAGTGAACGACAAAGCTTTGTAGTGATTTTCTCCACATCTAGTGGATGGAAAGCTTTGTAGGGATTTCATTCACATCTAGTGGATGACAAGCTTTGTAAGGATTTTATCCACATCTAGTGAATGACAAGTTTTAGAGGGATTTTCTCCACATCTAGTGGATGATAAGCTTTGTAGGGATTTTATCCACATCTAGTAGATGGCAAGTTTTAGAGGGATTTTCTCCACATTTAGTGGATGAAAAGCTTTGTAGGGATTTTATTCATATCTAGTGGATGACAAGCTTTGTAGGGATTTTCTCTACATCTAGTGGATGGCAAGATTTTTAGGGATTTTATTCACTTCTAGTGGATGACAAGCTTTATAGGGATTTTATTCACTTCTAGTGAATGAGAAAGCTTTGTAGTGATTTTCTCCACATCTAGTGGATGACAAGCTTTGTAGGGATTTTATCCACATCTAGTAGATGAAAAGCTTTGTAGGGATTTCCTTCACATCTAGTGGATGACAAGCTTTGTAGGGATTTTATTCACATCTAGTGGATGGCAAGTTTTAGAGGGATTTTCTCCACATTTAGTTGATGACAAGCTTTGTAGGGATTTTATTCACATCTAGTGGATGACAAGCTTTGTAGGGATTTTATTCACATCTACTAGTGGATGGCAAGTTTTAGAGGGATTTTCTCCACATCTAGTGGATGACAAGCTTTGTAGTGATTTTCTCTACATCTAGTGGATGGCAAGATTTTTAGGGATTTTATTCACTTCTGGTGGATGACAAACTTTATAGGGATTTTATTCACTTCTAGTGAATGACAAAGCTTTGTAGTGATTTTCTCCACATCTAGTGGATGGCAAGTTTTAGAGGGGTTTTCTCCACATCTAGTGGATGACAAGCTTTGTAGGGATTTTATCCACATCTAGTAGATGAAAAGCTTTGTAGGGATTTTATTCACTTCTAGTGGATGACAAGCTTTGTAAGGATTTTATCCACATCTAGTGGATGGCAAGATTTTTAGGGATTTTATTCACTTCTAGTGGATGACAAACTTTATAGGGATTTTATTCACTTCTAGTGAATGACAAAGCTTTGTAGTGATTTTCTCCACATCTAGTGGATGGCAAGTTTTAGAGGGATTTTCTCCACATCTAGTGGATGACAAGCTTTGTAGGGATTTTATCCACATCTAGTAGATGGCAAGTTTTAGAGGGATTTTCTCCACATTTAGTGGATGAAAAGCTTTGTAGGGATTTTATTCATATCTAGTGGATGACAAGCTTTGTAGGGATTTTCTCTACATCTAGTGGATGGCAAGATTTTTAGGGATTTTATTCACTTCTAGTGGATGACAAGCTTTATAGGGATTTTATTCACTTCTAGTGAATGATAAAGCTTTGTAGTGATTTTCTCCACATCTAGTGGATGACAAGCTTTGTAGGGATTTTATCCACATCTAGTAGATGAAAAGCTTTGTAGGGATTTCATTCACATCTAGTGGATGACAAGCTTTGTAGGGATTTTATTCACATCTAGTGGATGGCAAGTTTTAGAGGGATTTTCTCCACATTTAGTGGATGACAAGCTTTGTAGGGATTTTATTCACATCTAGTGGATGACAAGCTTTGTAGGGATTTTATTCACATCTACTAGTGGATGGCAAGTTTTAGAGGGATTTTCTCCAAATCTAGTGGATGACAAGCTTTGTAGTGATTTTCTCTACATCTAGTGGATGGCAAGATTTTTAGGGATTTTATTCACTTCTAGTGGATGACAAACTTTATAGGGATTTTATTCACTTCTAGTGAATGACAAAGCTTTGTAGTGATTTTCTCCACATCTAGTGGATGGCAAGTTTTAGAGGGATTTTCTCCACATCTAGTGGATGACAAGCTTTGTAGGGATTTTATCCACATCTAGTAGATGAAAAGCTTTGTAGGGATTTTATTCACTTCTAGTGGATGACAAGCTTTGTAAGGATTTTATCCACATCTAGTGAATGAGAAGCTTTGTAGGGATTTTATCCACATCTAGTGGATGACACGTTTTGTAGGGATTTTATCCACATCTAGTGAACGACAAGCTTTGTAGGAATTTTCTTTACCATGTTCTTTACCTGATCGTTTCAGTTGAATGTGTGGAATGGCATTCTCCACTTCTCGTTTCTGAAGTTCCCAGGTTGGCATGTTGACAGTAGGTGTGTCACTCGAGGAAAACCAGGCCAGGTCAAAACAGAGTAGACTGTTCAGCTGCCGCTCAGACTCCTGTAACAGCTGATAAAAGAGATTTAAAGATGAAACTCATAAGGTCATTTTAAGATAATTGACATTCAAAAAAATCAAAGTCTAACCCATATATTAATTTTAATAAATTTGGGACACTAATGAAATATAGAGGATATTCATTTTTTGGAGTTGGAAGTCTATTTATTTTCTTTTTGTCATATTTGTTATTTTTGCAGGTTGAAAAGAAATCATTCCTACAAATGTAAATTTTATTTAATGGGTTAATTAAAATATTTCATCATTGTTAATGTTAACAAATGGTAATGAAAACATTATCAATGGTAACAGAATTATTGATTCTAATGAGGTACGAGCATTAATTCATATCTTTTTCAGATTTTATGTAAAATTATAGGTAATCAAGAACCTTGATTCGTAAACTTGGATCTTGTGTGGCCTTGACTAGACTGAGTTTCCTCTGATGGTCGTCTATACTGGAGTTGATGGACTTGTTCCTTCTCAGCTGATCTAGGATTGGGCGTTTAATGGCCTCGATATCATTGTGTAGACGTCTCTTCATCTCCTCCTGTCGGCTCTTCAGCTGCGACCTTAGTGCCTCAAACTCCTCCTCAATACTTTTCTGTACATGTTTCTCATTTTCCTAACAACATCAATATATTTAATTACTTAATTGCATGTGGGTTTGATTTCATGGATAAGGTTTTTTAAAACTGCATTTTGTATAGAATGTGAAGAGGAACGTGCATAGAATGTCATGTGTGAGGGTTTCCACATAAATAACTCCCTATGAAAAATAATGATTTCGCAAAATTTTCAATCACAGTCAATGTCAAAGATTCTGTGTTGTTAGTTTTATGAATAAACAATATATATCCCTGTCATTTCCTTCTTTTAATACTTATTACTAATTACTATTTTTCCTTTAGTAATTATTTGGTACATGTACTTACATCAATCCCACCAAGGATTTCATTCAAAAGTTGAATTCTGTCATTTAGCAAAACACTCTTCTTCCGAATTTCTGACAAGGATGCCAATATTGATGTCTAAAAACAATTAAAGAATAAATCATTAGATAATGTAAGAGGTGTAAATGATAGAATTTAAAAGTGTTGGCAAGATCAAGAACATTTAATTAACTGATTTTAAATCACTGAAATATGGTTTCCTTAGTGCTGTTCGGTGTCCCTCTGAAGTCTTATCTTCAAATGCTGATATAAATTGTTCTTTCACAATTTTAGATTTTATTTAATAGCAACTGCAGTGAGTGCACTGAGTGGTGCAATGCACTAATCACAAGCAAGCTCAATTATAAATAAACTAAAATATGTAAGAAGAAACACAATTTGAACTGAAATCTGTATTATTCATCAAGGAAATAGTTGTGTGAAATCTTCAAAATCTTCCTAGACTTTGAAAGAATATTTTCATATATAGAGCTTACAATAAAGCCAAAAATAACTGCACTGTAGTAATATTTAGACTACACTCTTGAAATTAAACTAACATGCAAAAACATGTGACAATTGTCTACTGTATTTTGGAATTTGACTAAAGGGTCCATGTTACAAAGGTAATCTGTACAAGGGAACTGCATGGGCTTGCCCGAATGGTCAAACCATAAAGCATATTATCAAGATTCACTTATAAAGTGTTCTTATAACACTGCATTACCTACACTGTAACAGGTAGTGTACATGTGTTAGTGTACATGGTACCAACTCTAAATTGCAGTATATTCAATGTATACCTGAGAGCGATGAAGTTGTTCTTTGATGGGACTGAATCGATGAGATGCACCTGCATCTCTCTGACTTATACATTTACACTCTTTACAAACTGCTTGGTTACAAGACAAACAATAAAAACACAAGTCTTCTTTGTGCAGTCGACATTGTCCTGCTGAGTCTGACACATCTTTACTCCAACCTGCATCGTTGAACGTCACTTCTGCTTCTGCTTTGTAAACACTAATGACATTGTCAAGTGCACGGTTTACTGGAAACTGGTCAACTCCTGTTCTTTCCAAAGGAATCTTCCTTTGACACAGTGGACAGTCAACATATCGCTGGGGTCTGTAACTTGTGAATTGGTCCCTAGCAGTGATAATGCCCTGTAGACACTTTCTACAAAAATTATGACTGCATGGCAACATCAAAGGTTCATCGAAAAATTCTAAACATATTGCACACATTAGTTCCTTATCCATGGCTCATGAAACTATTTCAACACCTCAGTCAGTAGCGAAAAACTCTAAATCAGGGCTACGTTCAACATACAAACTGTTAGCATTACACATAATACCATGAGTGATGATGAGGGAGAGGCATTCTTAATCGGCACTACAGACCATCTGTAGGTTTTTACTATTTTCTGAGTGGCACCTAATTATTTTGTATCAGACACTCCATTTCCAGTTGCTCTCAGCAGGGAGTTTATGAAAACAATGCGGTAGTTTCGTTTTAAAAAACGTTGAAGAGATCTGTAGTTTTCAAAACAATCCGAATAATACGAATCGGCAACAAACGGATATACCAACAGCACATATCCCATCGACTTACCAAGTTTGATTAAAAAAATAATAATATTAAGCCTTCTTATTGCTTTTTGATCCTAAAAAATATAATAAGCCTACATATCTCTTTGTAAACGATGTCTCCTCTGTTTTTCTGTAGAACAATGGGGACAGGCTACATAGAGTTTCCCACTGGAAGAATGGGGGGGGGGGTGTTAGAATTTCAAGTAATTGAAAAAACTGATGGTATTTATTTAATTAAGGTGTAGATCAACATGACTATGATCGTAATTAGTTGTCACATTTATTTTCCCAAAGAGAGAGAGAGAGAGAGAGAGAGAGAGACATTGATTATTATTTAAAATAAATAACGAATATCCCTGTCGAGGATTACTTTTAGTAACAATTCTCAAGTGGCATTAAGGAATTACAACAGATATATGTACATTATAATCAGCATAATTATATAGTCAAGTCAAATTTAGCCATTTTTTCATATTAAAGCCAAGAGTAAAAAAAAATAGTAACATATATACATGTATGTATGTACATTTGATTATGATACCTTCGTCAATGGACATCTATTTTATTCAGTTGTGTGTGTATCATTTGATAAAAGCTCCTTTTTTTCCACCACTACTTGTCATTTTATTTATTTATTTTCATTCTCCTAATAAGGGTCGGTCACGCTTTCGAATAAATACAGAGACAGATAAGTATCCAATTCAGAAATCGAATTTAATCTTTTAACAGATGAATTATACGTATGTTCTGTATATATGTTTGTTTATTCACCAATCAAGGGTCCACGGGGGGCATGAACAAATTATTACAATATGATAACATTGATTACAATTCTATATTATAGGTTTATAATGTAACATGACTAGTGATTAGGTTTGACATTAAGAAGTGCATCACCACACTGGATCAAAAGCATAGAAAACCATAGGATGATAAAAAGAAAACACAATTAAATAAAATAATAGATATAAGGTAATTAAAAAAAAAATACAATCCGGCATTATTTAAGATACATCGACCGCAATCCTGATTCCAAATATTTATTTCATAGTCATTTTTTTCTAGTCTTAGAATTCTACAAAAATACATTGGGCTGATTTTCGTGGGTTAAAAAATTATTTGTTTTCTCGTAATAACAATATATATATATATGTTTATTCACCAATCAAGGGCCCACGGGGGGCATGAACAAATTATTACAATATGATAATATTGATTACAATTCTATATTATAGATGTATAATGTAACATGACTAGTGATTAGGTTTGACATTGAGAAGTGCATCACCACACTTGATCAAAAGCATAGAAAACCATAAGGTGATAAAAAGAAAACACAATTAAATAAAAATGATAGATATAAGGTAATTTAAAAAAAAATTCTTGTAGTAATGGCAGTACTCTGATATATAACTAGTGCATCTTGAATACAAAGGGCACCAGGGGATGATACCTCTACACAGCCAGACTGGCAAACCTGTACCCTAAGTATTGAAGACGGTCATTCAAAAAAAAAAAATCGTGAATCTGGCGGCAAATAAACGCGCTGCGCTATATTGCTAAACTTTCGCGTTATATAGCAAATTTATGTACATATACATAGTAATGTTACTCCTGAATCTTGTTTTTGACTGACAGATAAGTCACACGAACAAGTTAATTTATAAATATGATTTCCCAGAAGATCACAGATGTAAAGAAGATATGATGCGTAAGTTTCAATAATTATTAGCAAAAGTAACGCACTAATTCGCGAAAGTTGAACGCGTTTTTGTGTTTATTCGAGAAAGTTACGCATTTACCAGTATTCGCAAAAATTTTGCGTTTTAAATTATTTTTTTAATGCGAAAATGAGCTCAGTGGGCTTTCGTTCAATTTTATTCTTAATTACAAGATTAAAAAGTAAATGTTATGTAAGCGTGGACTATTATTTATCGACACGTATTTTAAAACTCGAACGAAGGGATGGGCATGCATGACTTACATTTTTTTTAAAAGAAGAATTTCATTTTGACAAGTAAAACATATAGTATTAAAAGGGCTCGATCAGCAACGATACTTTTGTCTACAATATAAGCTTGCAATTTAAATTACTGAGGACACATCTTTTCCCCTGATTTTTTACAGGCCTGATGCACGTAGCATGGGGAGGAGGGTGGTGGTGGCTGTCGAACAGGCTTTTTTTTGGACACTTTATTAAAATAGAAAATGTTCATTTAAAGCCCGATGTCTACCACCCCCTTTTTATTGCAAAATACAAGTAAGGGTAATGAAGTATATATGAGTATAATTATATAATAATTAATCTGTCTGAATAAAAAAAAAATGCTACTGAAAGAAGTATGACACACCCCACCCCCTAAACGAAATATATGATTTTAAGGTTCGGGTAATTTTTTCCTTTTTTATGTAAGTTGTTTTTTTTTTCTCTGGGCTGTTCCCTTTCAAAAGCGATGTTAGCACTATGTCCCTGTGATGTATGGGTAACCAACAATTCAACATTCCAAAGGTCAGTGGGTCACTCCATATGAATGACTGTGCATATTTGTTTGTCCAGTCTTAGGTAACGTTGAATTGTGGACACTATATTTCTAAAAACCCTCTAATGCCAAATTTTGGAGGAACAATTTGCTGTTCTCCAATCGTTTAAGAGGATTAAGTTGGTATTAGGTATATATTCTGAACTTGCCAGTCCAATTTTATCCGATTGTGAACGTTCAATGCTACAGAACAGAGTTCAGTGCGCATTGATGTTAATGTAAACATTCATTTTCGGGTGAACAGTTGTGAGAGACAGATGGAATCCCCAGACAGGGACAACGTCTTTGATAAATTTGTTGACAGAAAAAAGATTTTTGATAAACAAGATTGTATTCAATGCTTTCAACGTTACGACGTTGACGGGTGAGTTGAATTTTTTTCCCGCGATATAAAAATTAGAAAATGAAATAGACTAATGAGTTCTGCTATAAATATTTTCTTTTTATGAAGGCTTATGTCATTCAAGAATTACAGAGTCCTAACTACAGCATCTTGTGGTTTTGTAAGGTTTTGTGGTTTATGTATTGTAATACAGATTTACATTATGGACTCTCGAGCATGTATAGTTGTTTATTATTCAAAAAGAATCCATCTATTTCATGTGTTTCACAAAACTGATTAATTAATTTATATTTTAATTTAATTCATTTTTTATTGTTAATTGATAAAGCAAATTTATTCATTGTCAAAAATGTTATTCAAATAAAGAATATACTGCTTTAAATAATGATGATTAAAAAAAATTAACTTTTAATCACGATTAACTGGAGGTAAAAAAAATATTAATTATGCCATTTTTTAAAAAAAATTCCGTACAAGATAATTGTAAATTTGTAATTTTTTTAAAAATTTGTATTTATATAGGATTTATATTTCCACTGGTCTGAAAGATTTAGAGTTCACCACAATGAAAACCACACTTCAGTAATTTTACTGATATACATTTGGTAGTGTGAATAATTGTGTCACATTAGTCAAATAATCTGGACAGTGTTTTACAAAATACTTTTGCCTTAGATCAAAATGTTATAATGCAAATAACTTTCCCATTTTTCATCATGTTGAAAATGGTGTTTATTCTTTCGAAATTGATTTTTATTTAAAAAAATTAATAGAAACATAATATTTTTAAAAAGATTTTACAATCAGCAAACTAAGTTTTTAGTCTTAGTCATAAGTTCTTTGTAAAATGACCCCATGGTCAGTCAATTTGAGATATCGTATAGATAGAGGATATCTATATTGTGTGATTTGATATTGGCTTTATCTAACGAGTTAAAATGGTGTATATATTCGCGAGGCTTGCCGAGCGAATATACACCATTTCAACGAGTTGGATAAAGCCAATATCAAATCACACAATTATAGATGTTCTATTTATCTCATATGACTTTCCTTTTAACAAAACTTTGAGACTTACCCTGCGAAACTACATGAATGATTGCTAAATTCAAATTGATGACGTACGTACAACTTGATGACGTAGCACCGTTGATGTTGACATCTCTCGAAAGAAAGTAGATCTTGTTCAAAATTTAGAATTTTTGCTGTATCTGTGTCTTTGAAAACATTATGTGACAATTGCTGGCACTTTACATCAAACGAACTTCTGACTGAAAGTTGTAAGGACATGGGATCGTGAAAATGGACTCTTTGGACGATGGCAGTACAAAATGTGTTAGGCAAGGCTAGGGGCCTACTTGTAGATTCATTGTTGATCCATGGTAAGTTACACCTACATTACTAGGTAGGCATACGTAGTATAATATAAAAAAGCATTATTGAAGATGTTAAGGAATCTTAAGACAATAACTTAACTGCTAAGCTTTACTTTCTCCGAAAACGATTTAAAGGGGGGGGGGGTAACATCTGTCTTCAAGTAGCCAATACAGGTTCCTTGATAAAATAAGACACTTCTTTGACATATACGAGCCTTTTTCTGGTTTTTAACGATATTATCGCTCTTTATCATTCATTTTATTAGGGCAATAATAGGGATCACAAAAAAAAGTTTCAAATAAAATTTTGAAGCGAGGGATCATGTCAAAACCGGAAGTGCTATTGATAAAGCATCTACCCGTTGATAAAGCATAAGTTTATCCAACGGCCTGTATCACCCACACGTATGAGATAAATTTGTAAATCTACCTAGCTCACAGAGTCAAAAGTTTATAGGCATATCCCTTCATTAATGATAAATCTGAGCTATTATATCAGTGTAATCTTTTATTATAAGAAATCAGGGTTTCCATGTCTCCTAGAAAATGGAGCACCTGATTCTATAAGGTCTAAACATGGACCAGTCTGAGAATACACTAAGTAACAATTAAGCTTCTAGTATTATTGTTTCAGAAAGATACATGTGAAAGTAAAGAAGTAAGCGGAAGTTTGAGCGATATTTTTCATTTGTTTTTCCTTTGAAATTAATGGACCAGGTGCCACATTACTGAATATGGAAGGGAGGTTCCTATAAATATACAATAATACATGAACCATTATGCAATTTTTTTTTTTACAAATACCTGACACAAAGATAGAGTGTTTGATAAAAAAAATATTGTTGCTCTCGTGTGATTATCAAGTTTTGAGGAGAAAAAAAAAACAGGGTTTACTTTGCTAGTTATTAGCAGATAATGTAAAATAAGGAAGTTAAAACCATTTCACGATTTTATGATATTTCCTGAAGAGTGTCTAGATTTATGTGGGTAGTGTAAATTTTCTCATTGCCATATATTTGCCTCATGTTTATCAATTAATATTTCAATAAATATATAGTTAACTCATGTTTATAGATTGCACTTGTAACGTAAAAAGTTTAATTTTAACACTCACTAGGAATCAAAGTCAGTAGCTTTTTAAAAATTATTGTACCTCTACTGATCTTACACTTTGAAAACGTAAATCGACACATTTTGCTGATTTATTGTAAAGAAAAGTCTAATTCCCTGCAAAACACACACATAGCTAGACCTCCTAGCATTTTCTATTATTTATATGAAAGTTCCAATATCTTCCAAACAAAATCATGAATATTCATAAAGCAGCCCAGTCATTGTTATTTATAAGGAGTCTGGCCTAATTTTTATATTAATGAGTAGCTTGTTAAGTACTGTGATGTCATCAGGGGAAATGCAGTGAGAGGTATCACATTTTTTTTCAGAGTAGAAACTGTACATGTATATAACAAGGGCTGACAAATAGATTTTAAGGCACTTGTTCAAGGGCAAGTACATGATCAATTTTTGCTTGCCCTTCTGTAAACTAATACTGTATTTATAAATATTTTTAAAAAAGGAAGGAAGACAAATACTGAGTAGATCACGTAAGCCCTATGTCCATCTTTAAATTTGGTCCACTTTTTGTATTGGTATAAAAAAGAAACAGATTAAAAACCACATATACAGGCACGTAAGTCAGTTCACTTAATATGTATTGGTTGTCAATGGTTGTGTTTTTCAGATTATTTTGGAGTAATTTGCCATTGATTCATAAAGTTGGTAATGTTTCTTGCAAGAATCTGTTGCCAATTTCAGATGAATATTCTTTTGTATTTTCCTGTGTTACAAAGTATATTTTGGGATATGACATCTTTCAGTATTTGTTCTTTCATTAACAGATACAAGATCATTAAATTCTGTAAGCACTTGTTTTATAAACATTTGATAAACTTGTTTCACATTTTTCTGCAATAGATTATGTTCTGATCTTTCTATATAACCAGATTTGCATGGAGCTGGTGTAAAGCTACCGTATAATCTCTATTAACCGCCCCTGCCCCTATAAGCGCCCCCTTAGGTCTTTTTCAATTGCCAGGAAATAAGGGCCCCCCGTACAGTGATTAAAATGATCTAGAATCGTATCAAAGATGTGAAGAAAGTAAAAATGAAACGTGTCTTTTATCCAATTTCTCGCTGGAAAATGAATAATTTAGCATAATTTGGGTGGATTATCTTCACTTAAAGTAAAGTTAGACATCATTTTAGTGGTTCTTTGTATTTTTTTTTTCAAAAGATTTTTTGAAGCAAATATGATATTAAATATTATAAAGAGAATACTAAATTAACAGCCCCCTTTTCGCAATTTTCTAAGCGCCCGGGGCGGTTAATAGGGATTATACGGTATTTCCTCTTTCAGAAATTATTTAGGGCTTCCTTACAAGTCAGAGAATGTTGAATTTCAGCCAGTCATATTCGGGAATGATTCAATTATCAAATAAACTTACTTTTCCATCATAAAGGGAGCTTAAAGGCAAATCTTCTGTTATTAATATTTTGACATATAAACCAGTATTATTAAGGACAGACGAGACGTTCCTTAATAAGAGATAAATTTTTCTAAGAGTTTGTCATTGAAGTGTTGCTACTTAAACATGTTTACTCACAAAAAATTGAGGTACCTTACCAGGCATTTCTGCAAGATACCAGGGGTAGTGTTTCTTATATAATCCTTCGGGGAAGAAAATAATTTTCTAATTTCAAATGTTTAAGTGTTTGGATATTTTAAAAACGTCTAGAAACTGCTTTAGAAATCAGAATGTTATGAAAATTTTGAATATTTTTCATACATTACGAAGATATACAAAACAGATTTTGAGGAACGTCTTGTCTGACCTTAAAGTATTAAAATCTGCTGTATAGATAAATACACATTTCCTTATAATTTGAGTGATTGCATTAATCATCAATGAATAAATGTTGTTCATGCTAATAAGTATAAGGTAATGATCTAGAATTTTTTAGTACAAAAGAACAAATGCCCCCTCCCTCCCCCAATAATCCCCCCCCCCTAAAATTTAATAATAATAAACCTATTGAAAATATTTGGTTACCCCCCACCCCACCCCCCATTCATTCTTTTGGCATGGGGAGAAAGTTTGAGAAAAAAATTCCAAGTGCTCTAAGGGAAACTACAAGTACATGTACTATAAGAATTTTGGCATATGGTATACTGTTAAAGATTGGAATAGTACAAACGTACTACTAAACTTCATGCTTTTAAAATCATTGATCACATACAATCTCTGAACAGGCTAATCTGATTTAGGATTAAAGAATTATAAAAGTAAACCTGCTGAGTAAGTAGCTCAGGTGTTGAACCTAATTATAACATGGGAGCTTAACACCACGCTGGTTAACCATATTTTGCCGTCGTTTTCTAATATTCTGCTCAGATTTTAAGGCTTTTCTAAGAGTGGGTTTTATGATTTTGTATAAATATCAGCAGCAATGGCACTTAATAAAGAAAAAAAAGATAAGAAGTGATCATGCTTGGTCACAAATTTATACAGGTATAAACAATAACATTTATAACTGTATTATTTAAAGTAAACATAGATTTTGCGGAATTCACACTATTTTAGCCAATTACAGTATTATCTTGTTTCTATGCTCCTCAGATGCCTTCAAAACTGAATGAGAGAGAGAGTGATTTGTCGAACCGTCTCTTGCTTAATTTTGTAAATTGGAGTTAATTTTATGTATTTCGTTGTTTATAATCTCATCAGATCTTTTTATATATATATATAGTAATTTGTATGACTTGTACATGCAATATGTTAGTTCTTGCATTCTACTTTTCAAAGTACAGTAAATCACTTTTTATTCATGATAAGTTTATTTTCATGTAATAAGACTGTTTGTAGGGATGGGTATCGCAAAAAATTTCGTATCGCGATATATCACGATTTTTTCCAACAATATCACGATAATATCATGATATTTTTAAAAGCAGTTTTTACAATGATTTTATATGAAAAGTCATTATTTTTCTAAAAAATATGCTAGAAAAACAAAATTTTACTTTCTTGAAATTTTTATGTATATAAAATCAATTATGTTTGGACGGTAAGATGCTGTTCTTTTCACTTTTTACAACATTTTTATACTTTCTGTAATTGTAATTTGAAAGATTGAACAAATAAATGAATAATTTTGTGGACTTTATAATATGTTCCTAAAGACCGGTACTTGTATTTAGGTCTCTGTATCACGATATGTATCACGCAACAAAAAATTGCAATATACCGGTATACCGATAAAATCGCACATTCCTAACTGTTTGCATGCAAAAATTTCCTTTTCCCATATATTTTTGCCTATGTAATCATAGATTCGAGGATATATATATTATTATAACAGTAACTTGATCCGAAGGGTCATATCACGTCGAGTTGACAGGTGCGGATCATCAGATTTAACGAGACGCAAAGCGTCGAGTTTGATCTGATGATCCGCACCTGTAAACAAGACGTGATACGGCTCTTCGGATCAAGTTACTGTTATAATGATAAATTTATTATATACCCCCTTATAACTAGCTAAATATAGCAGAATAAATCTTTAGAGATCAATTATATAATATTTATCCATAAAACAAAGCATAATAACCAGTGCCTTTTTTAATGCGCAAGAAAAATAACGTCATGTTTTTGCGTACTACGTCATCAGTTTCAGAGAGTGGTGATATGGATTCAGAAAACCACAGTGTGGTGATCCGGAAAATCGGATCAAACTCTGTAAAATTAACAGTAACAAAAACAAGAAAATTGATGGGTATATAATAAATATAGTTTTTGCCCTGTCCGTCTTTCTGTTCGTTTGTCTGTTTGGCCGCAAAAACTTTACCATTGCCCAGAACTTTTGGGAGAGGACTGTCTAAGTTTAAAGAACTTATGTCCAATCCCTTTGACATGTTTGTCAATAAAATATGTTCAAAACAACTTTTAAGTGGGACTATGGCTTTGGCATATTTCACAGGTATAATCCTTGTGACAAGACTTTTCTCTGGGTACCACCAAATATGACCTCTTGACCTTGGAGTTTGATCCACTTTAAAATTTACAAAAAAAACCCAAACAAACAAACAAACAAAAAAACAAACTTTAACCATATAATTGGCCATAATTTTTTTTGAACAGTTGGTGCTAGGGCTTCATTCTTTATGTGTGTGTTCATTGTGACAAGACTAAATATATTTGACCTTAGAGTTAAACCACTTTGTATATGAAAAACTTTAACCTTGGCCATAACTTTTAAAAAGTTAGCATTAGGGCTTTCATATTTGTAAGGTGTATTCCTTATGAAAAGACCTGTCACTTGATACCAACAATTTTGACCTTGGAGTTTGACTTGCACTTGGGAAACTTCAACCTTAGTCAGTATAAGCTGCCATACTTGGGCATCAGTGTTTCACAAATAAATCTTGTTTTATTTTTAACATTACGTAAAACAGCATTTGAATGAGTAAAATTAAGTTTTCTCATTTGAAATAAAAAACCTTTATGACTTTTTCCTTGCTTATATTAAGTGTCACGAAATTTTGGTTTTAATATGTATACAGTTACAGGTTTTGTGAAGAATTTTGAATCTTTACAGAGATGGCTTTCTGAACAAGAAGGAGTTTCACCAGTTACTGAGTGATGTTTTCTGTGATGGCTCCCAGTCCTACAAGCTGACGGAGGCCCAGGAGGGGGAAATTCTTACTCTCCTAGACCAAGACCAGGTCAGTTCTGAATATACAGGCAAACAGACAGACATCTGTAAACACACACTAAGTCTTATTTAATTAATAAGATTCATCATGGATGTTAATTTATTCATTTCGATCGACTGAGTGTTTAAAAAAATTGATGATTTATTATAATCAGAGAACCAGTATGAAAGCCTATAATGTCATTTATTCCTACCAGCTAGCTGTACAATTCTATGATAGTTTGTCCTGACTTGTAACCTTCACCCTTCATTGTCTAAAAGAAGCCCAGATACTGTTATTAAATTAAAAATATGACTGAAATAAATGTTTCTAAATCAAAAGAAAACACCTTTAAAAATTACATGTAATTTAATGGTAATGAATAGCACAGGTTGAACTGTCCAGATCGACAGAATGGGATATATCTCTTTACAAGTCCTCCTCGGACCTCCTGCTGGGAAAGTGGTCCAAATATGGAAACCTGTGACGTGTGTGCTCTGAATTCAGCTGAGCTCTGTTGGTTTCTTAAGGAAAGTTCCAAAATTGGCACTGCAAATTAGCTCTCATTATCTCTTATCATTTTCTGCAAACATGGAAGAAAATATTTCTGTCATTAATTGGCTTATAAATCAATCTGCCTCTACAAACAAGAGTCATTGTGAGTGTGTGTGGAGAACAGAACAAATTTGTCCTCCATCTTACAAGAGAGGAAGCCATGATGACTACATCAATACATTACTGATTTCACGATAGATCAAACCGATTTTTAAAAAAAATATATCAACCAGTATTTTAGAAATATAGTTTCTTCCTTCTGGAAATTTCAGGATTATAATTTTAGAGTTGGCTCGATCAGTTATTGTTGATAATATGAATAATTTATTTTTCATTTTAAAACTTATATTGCTCCCCATCGGTGGTTTTGCTATGTCTTTTGATGTTTTTTTCATATTAAATGTGTTGTGATGGTTTGTCGGTTTTGCACTTTTACGTGTAGGTGAATCATTCGTCGGTACAGGTATGTAGTCTACCACAGTGGGACATTGATTGCCTACGGTTTAACGACAGAAATAGTGTAAACATTTGTGATAGTTGCACAGTATATTAATAGAGATATCAAGTAGGTCTTGGAAGTTCCAATCAATACATATCACCTAGAATCAAGGGGGCAGTTTGAACTGTGTTAAGGTGTATATCCTTAATTGTTTTCTCTCTCAAAGTCCAATGTTTATTGAGTTTAATGAATTCTATTTTAATTGAATGACTTTTCTGCATAACATATTGTTTTGTTGGTGTGTAATAATATCTTTGACTTTTACCACGATATTGGATTCCAATTTGTGCCCCAACACTCTGAAGAGAGAGATCATTACTATTGCTGTTTAAATGTTAATCAATAATTGTATGTGCATTGTGCAGCCATCCCTTTAGAGAGCTGTGTTAATAAATTTATTATAAAGCAATTTACTTTGCAATTTTTAGGTGTATTCATGCAAAATTTCCCAATTTTTAGTAAAATCATTTGAATACATGTTATTTTGAAGAGAAGATATTATTTTATTAAACACTTTATTTGTTCATTCAATGAAAAAAGAATCATTACTTTTATCAATTTGAACATAAATTTATACATTCTCTTAGACATCTAGACAACTGTTCTTTGGTCAAGAAACACATTTCAACAGACTTTCAAGACTATTGATGATATTTTATTGTAGTATTTAGTAGAAAGATTAAAATGAAAAGGTCATCTTGAAAGATTCATAATTATACAAACATTGTACTTTATGTGTACTTATCATAGCGGGCTTCATATTTAAGCAGCTTTTGTATGGACAACAATGTGCTAATTCATAAATACCACTAAGAACTTTATAAAAACAATTTACATGTAGTACAATACACTGCACAGTGCACAGACATGTGTACAGCTAATTCTTAATTACGGAAACAAATCCATACCCAGTGATTGAGCTAAATTTGAAATATGTCAATTAATGTATAGTATATGATCTGTATAAACTAAGATAATCAGTTAATTAGTACATGTACTTCTATACCCAGCCAGTGACTTCTGTTAGGTTGTTATGGATGGGGGACCATTTGAGTCTCGATGATCTGGATTTATCCAAATTTAGACCAAAATTTCATTGATAGGATTAATTTAATAAAGTGCACTTTTAACAACTGGTTTAAAAAAGTGCACTTTTAAAAATTGGTTTAAATATTTATTCATTGAACTTAAGACAATGCTAATCTCTGCTTTAAGAATACATGGGGAAAAGTCCAGTGATATTTAGTGGTTTAATACAGTACAGTTTAGTACATTCATTATTCAGTGTTACCAAACAAATCTCAAATTTACATACATTAGATGCTATAAACCGAGAAATTGGAACACTTACTGTCAAACACCATTATAAGAAAACCATTGGGATTTTTGCTTCCAAGCTTCTGTTTGTAAATGTATCTGTATAAAAAAAACATTGTACAAAGTCTTCTACAGAATTCATAAAAATTTCCTTATAACAGAGATGTCCTCATACGTGAGTTCTGTATAACTCAGCTTTACTGTAAAACAAATCCAGCTTTTATGCAATGGATTCATGAGGAAATTTATTTTAAGTTCCTTATTAAGAGGAAAGTACATAAGTTTTTCTGTGATAAGCAGTTGTATTAAAGTATAGAAACCAAGTGTGGAAGAATTAGACTTACCAGCTAAGAAGCAAGCACATCATATTGTTGAGTAGACTTTCAAATAAGCAAAGAATTAAAATGATGAAATTAAGAAGGAGACTTTTTTTATAATTTGAAAGGATTTCTCCTGAAAATGTGTATAATGCTTTTTTAAATGTCAAGAGTTATTAGCTCACCTGAGCCGAAGGCTCAAGTGAGCTTTTCTGATCACATTTTGTCCGTCGTCCGTCCGTCTGTCTGTCCGTCCGTCCGTCTGTGCAATCGTGTCCGGTCCATATCGTCTGTCTGTCCGTCTGTAAACTTTTCACATTTTCGACTTCTTCTCACAGAACCACTGGGCCAATGACCAAACTTGTGTACAAAGCATCCTTGGGTAAAGGGAAATTTGAATTGTTAAAATGAAGGGACATATCTCCTCGCAAGGGGAGATAATGAAGAAAAGACAAAAATAGGGTGGGGTCATTAAAAAATCTTCTTCTCAAGAACCACTGGGCCAGTAAAGCTGAAACTTATGTGGAAGCATTCTGGGGTAGTGTCACACAAAATTGTTCAAATCATGACCCCCGGTGTGGAAGGGCGGGGCCACAATGGGGAATCAAAGTTTTATATAGAAATATATTGGAAAAATCTTTGAAAATCTTCTTCTCAAGAACCACTGGGCCAGAAAAGCTGAAACTTATATGGAAGCATCCTGGTATAGTGTAGACTAAATTGTTCAAATCATGACCCCCAGGGGAAGGGCGGGGCCACAATGGGGTATCAAAATTTTACATAGAAATATATAGGAAAAATGTTTGAAAATCTTCTTCTCAAGAACCACTGGGCCTGTAAAGCTGAAACTTATGTGGAAGCATCCTGGTATAATGTAGATTCTAAATTGTTCAAATAATGACACCAAGGGGGAAGTTCGGGGCCACAATGGGGAATCAAAGTTTTATTTAGAAATATATAGGAAAATTCTTTGAAAATTTTCTTCTCAAGAACCACTGGGCCAGAAAAAGTGAAGCTTATGTTGAAGCATTCTGGGGTAGTGACCTAAATTGTAGGAATCATGACCCCCGGGGGAAGGGGCCATTATAGGGAGTTAAAGTTTTACATAGAAATATATAGGAAAAATCTTTGAAAATCTTCTCAGGATACCACTGGGCCAAAAAAAGCTGAAACATATGTGCCCATGGAAGAATCATGGGGTAGTGTAGATTTCAAAATGTCTAAATTATGATCAGTGGGGTAGGGTGGGGATGCATTATGTATAACAAGGATGAAATCTGGTAAAGAACAGAATGGTCAAAGCTTCTCAGGTGAGCGATGTGGCCCATGGGCCTCTTGTTTATTTTTGTGTACTTTGATGAAAACAAGAGTAAAACTTTATTTTCATTTGAAGTGTAGTACAATCCCAAAGGTTTTGTCTTTTAAGCTAGAATCCCTTATCAGTAAGTCCTTTAATAAGCATTAAAAGATAATGTTTTGTGCATTTTAATAATTTTATGAGGATTGTGATTTGCATATTTAAATTTTTTCTCCTATTTACAGGATGGACAAATCAGTAAAGCTGAATTTCTTGGGAACTGCTATTACTGGCTAAAACAAGTAAGTATAAGTATGATATTGGCATCTGGCATGGTTTGGATAACAGTTTTTCTAATATAGATGTACTAGTATCTAAATACTTATGTCTGCATATATTTTGATGATCGAAACTTTTAGAAGAGACACAAGAACTGCAGGGAAAATGTACCGGGTAATATCTAAGGAGAGTCATGGTACATGTTTCAGATTTTCATATTACAAAGTTCAAAATAAAATCTAAGGGTAGACTGAATGAAAGATCTGTCAATGCCTTAAATTAATGACATGTCTGTTTTCTTTAGATTTTACAGCCCAGCTCTGCTCTCATTGTGGTTGATGTACAGAATGATTTTCTGGATGGAAACCTTGCTCTCCGTAACTGTCCCGCAGGTCAGGATGGGTTAGGGGTCATTCCTGCCATTAACTCTCTCCTTGACACTGTGAACTTTGACCTCGTAGTATATACCAGAGATTGGCACCCTGCAGACCACATATCATTTGCAGAAAACAAGCACATCAGACGTTTCCATGCTACAAGCCAAGTAAGAGAGAAATGAAATAAATTTAGAGTTGCTTATGATTTGAACTATCAAGAAATTGTCTGCATTGCTTTTACATATTTTGAAATTGTATTTAAATGTTTAGACATATTTTAGACAGGGTATACTGTTAACAGACATATTTAACAACATAGATATGTCAGACCTGTGTGAAAATCATTTTATCTGTATGCCAACTGTGTGGTCTATGATGCAATAAATTTAATATTTAAATAGGTACTGGCTCATACTCACTCCCAAGAGATAGAACATTTTCAACTGATAAGCTAATACGAGTATTGCTAATCTAAGTCCGGGACACTGCAGGTCATAGAAAAATAAGTACCGGTATTTTGAATTTATATACCTAGGTCACCTGTTTCATGATTATGTCACAAGGAGAAAGACAGAAAGAGAGAGACTCTCAAACATGTGAATATTTTGTTGGACTTTTTGTCTTACCTCTCAGTAAAATTTCAGCTAAAATGAGCCATTATGATGAAATATAAAAAGAGAGCAAAAATAAAAGAACAAAACAAAACAAAAAACCCCACTTGAGTGGATTGACTGGATTCAACAAATATTGCAACAAAATGTCCAAGTATATGGAGAATCCTGGAATATTGATAATTGCTGACCTGAATTTGAGTTCCATGCATGCTTGGAATATAAGTGAAAGTAGCTGAAGATAATTAACAGTGCTCAGTCTCAAAAAATCTACAGTACAATAAAAATATGTAAACAAGGCTTAAAACATTGACCCTGGAAATTTTAGAGGTGGAATCAGTGCCTAGGAGGAGTAAGCATACACTGTTGATCGGTAACATCCGCCTTGAGCCATAAGTCAGATTCAAAACATGCTAACCAAATCTGTGTTCCAACAACTGTCTGTACTATAATACATGGATCTGATGCTTCAACTGACATACATTTTATGACCGAGTGACTCGTATAACGACATTTACATAATGGAAGCAGACAAGGGTCAAAAATCATATAAAGAAAGTTGTTCCATGTGAGCTCTGTATCCCACATACCTTTTGTGTTCTATATTAGGCAGTAGCTTTATTATTATATGAAAATTTATCATCTAACTTTTTGTTTTCAGATCTCTCAGACAGAAGCCAAGGTTCATGACACAGTGATATTTGAGGGATCCTCCATTACTGAGCAGAAGCTATGGCCCACTCATTGTGTTCAGGGAAGCTGGGGAGCAGAACTGCACACAGATCTCAAGGTCTACAAAATATTATGAAAGCTTAATGACTGATTTATTGACTAAAATTGATTTTTAAAATCATGGTTTACTTCACAAATATAGCAAGGGTTAAATTCAGGTGCTGTTTCTGATGAGAGAAAAAAAATACAGTAAAACCTGTCAAAGAGACCAACTCTTTAGCAGCTTTCTGTCATAATTTTTAGCTCACCTGAGCCGAAGGCTCAAGTGAGCTTTTCTGATCAAAATTTGTCCGTTGTCTGTCGTTGTCGTTGTAGTCGTTGTTGTCGTTGTTGTCGTTGTTGTCGTCGTCGTCGTAAACTTTTCACATTTTCATCTTCTTCTCGAGAACCACTGGGTCATTTTCAACCAAACTTGCTACAAAGTATCCTTGGGTAAAGGGGATTCAAGTTTGTTCAAATGAAGGGCCACGTCCTTTTCCAAGGGGAGATAATCATGAATTTGTTAAAAATTAATGGCATTTTTAAAAAATCTTCTTCTCCAGAACCGCTAGGCCAGGAAAGATGAAACTCATGTGGAAGCATCCTCAGGTAGTGTAGATTCAAGTTTGTTCAAACCATGACCCCCGGGGCAAGGGTGGGGTCAAAATGGCCGACCCAAGTTTTACATAGGAATATATAGGAAAAATCTTTGAAAATCTTCTTCTCCAGAACCACTGGGCCAGGAAAGATGAAACTCATGTGGAATCATCCTCAGGTAGTGTAGATTCAAGTTTGTTCAAATCATGACCCCCGGGGCAAGGGTGGGGCCAAACTGGTCGACCCAAGTTTTACATAGGAATATATAGGAAAAATCTTTAAAAATCTTCTTCTCCAGAACCAGTGGGCCAGGAAAGATGAAACTCATGTGGAATCATCCTCAGGTAGTGTAGATTCAAGTTTGTTCAAATCATGACCCCCGGGGCAAGGGTGGGGCCAAAATGGCGGACCCAAGTTTTACATAGGAATATATAGGAAAAATCTTTAAAAATCTTCTTCTCCAGAACCAGTGGGCCAGGAAAGATGAAACTCATGTGGAATCATCCTCAGGTAGTGTAGATTCAAGTTTGTTCAAACCATGACCCCCGGGGCAAGGGTGGGGTCAAAATGGCCGACCCAAGTTTTACATAGGAATATATAGGAAAAATCTTTGAAAATCTTCTTCTCCAGAACCAGTGGGCCAGGAAAGATGAAACTCATGTGGAATCATCCTCAGGTAGTGTAGATTCAAGTTTGTTCAAATCATGACCCCCGGGGCAAGGGTGGGGCAAAAATGGCCGACCCAAGTTTTACATAGGAATATATAGGAAATTTTTTTTTAAAAATCTTCTTCTCCAGAACCAGTGGGCCAGGAAAGATGAAACTCATGTGGAATCATCCTCAGGTAGTGTAGATTCAAGTTTGTTCAAATCATGACCCCCGGGGCAAGGGTGGGGCCAAAATGGCTGACCCAAGTTTTACATAGGAATATATAGGAAATTTTTTTTAAAAATCTTCTTCTCCAGAACCAGTGGGCCAGGAAAGATGAAACTCATGTGGAATCATCCTCAGGTAGTGTAGATTCAAGTTTGTTCAAATCATGACCCCCGGGGCAAGGATGAGGCCAAAATGGCTGACCCAAGTTTTACATAGGAATATATAGGAAATATCCTTCTCAATTACCACTGGGCCAGGAAAGATGAAACTCATGTGGAATCATCTTAAGGTAGTGTAGATTCAAGTTTGCGCAAATCATGACCCCCCGCCCTGGGGCTAGGGTGGGGCAAAAATGGCCGACCCAAATTTTACATAGGGATATATAGGGAAACCTTTTAAAATCTTCTTTTCAAGTACTTCAAAGCTATTATTAGTGATATTTATATGGAATCATAGGTAGTGTAGATTCTAGCTTGTTCAAATGATGAACGCCTGGAAGGGGGGGGTAGTAAATTCAAGCCCGATGTGCTCAGGTGAGCGCTGTGGCCCCTGGGCCTCTTGTTTAAACCACTGATAAATTTCCTTCAGAAAATTGTCAATTATATTTTACCTGCATTCAGTGGCTTTCTGTCTCATTCTGTAAATGACCATCAATTTTTCCATCATAAGTGTAGGTTGAGATTCTGAATTATTTATCACTTTTGGCTCTGCTTGGAGTCAGAGAACAAAATTTATAAATTGTTAAGTATTATCCCCTTCCCATGTTTGTAGAGAGAAGTTTGCAAACACATACTCATATTTAATATAATATTTCACAGTGTGTGATAAGTTATCAAAAGAAAAAAAATTCAAAAAAAAAAATAAAATAAAAAGAATGTTCCTTATCAATTACAGTTTTATAGTAAATTTTTTGGAAATTCAGTTTTGTGTTATTGTCCCCTGCTTTTGCAAAAGTGAGGGGAATTAATTATTCCCTGATTTTGCAAAAGCGAAGGGGACATTAAATCTCATTCATCTGTTCATCTTTCAGTCTGTAGGTCTGTCAGTCTGTCTGTCTGTCACAAAAACTTTAACATTTCCAAGTTGGTCATATACATGTATTTTGAATGGGAAGAGATAAGACTTTCACATTATACATGTACTTGTATATTACTTAAGACAATACCTTTCTAAATACACTATGATTTTTTTACCCTGTAACCTTGACCTTGAAGTTTGACCTACTCTTCAAAAATTTAAACATTAATTTAAATTGACCATAACTTTTAAATGAGAGGAGATAGGGCTTTTCTATTATACATGTGTATTACCTGTGACAAATCCTTTCTAATACACTATGATTTTTGACCCCATGACCTTCACCTCGGAGATTGACCTACTCTTAAAAAATGTTTTTTCTTCCTTATGACTTTTGATTTAGGAGAGATAGGCCTTTCATATTTGACATGTGCATTACCTATGGCTAGATATTTCTGAGCATGCAATGATTTCTGACCCCTTGACCTCCATTTTTGACCTAATTTAAAAAAAAAAAAAATTAGTGATACACAGTAACTCTTAAATGACATGTATACGGCATTCATATTTGACACAATATGCCATGAATAAAACAACTCACCCACAAAAAAAAGAACCGAGAATGGAGGACCACGATTCTTGGAATTTGCTTGTTATAAATGATAAGACAGATAACTTGACATTGGCAAACCATTCAGTGAAAAGTAAAGCCTGCATATGTACATGTATTTAAATTTCCATTGCATGATTTAAATAATTGTGCACAGTATTAACTAAAATATTTCTTCTCAGGTCCCAGATGACAGCATCTTTGTGGATAAAGGGAAGAATCCTGAAGTGGACAGCTACTCGGCATTCTGGGATAACAACAAACAATCACAGACAGAGCTGGTCCAGATCTTATCTAAACGTAACATCACCGATGTCTACGTCTGCGGGGTGGCTTACGATGTCTGTGTGGGTAAGTATACTGACATACTGACAGGTAGTTATACTTTTCTCTATGTCTTTAGGATGGCCTTTGATGTCTGCCCAGGTAGGTATTGGGATGACCTACAATGTCTATGTGGGTAGGTATACAAATGTCTATGTCCCTGAAGTGGCTTCCAATATCTGTATGGGTAGGTACTGTGGTAGTGTTAGATAAACGGCATCCTACTAGCTTGGACTAGTGGGTTAACCCTTTAGCTCGATCGGTAGAGCACTGGACTGGCAAGCCAGAGGTCCCGGGTTCAATCCCCAGCAGAGGCAATAAATTGTTTCTGTTACATTTGGCGCCCAACGTGGGGCCAAATGTAACAGAAACAATTTATTGCCTCTGCTGGGGATCGAACCCGGGACCTCTGGCTTGCCAGTCCAGTGCTCTACCGATCGAGCTAAAGGGTTAACCCACTAGCCCAAGCTAGTAGGATGCCGTTTATCTAACACTACCACATTACCGTAAATAGATGTCTGTATCTGTGGATCCGGCTATGATGTCTTTGTCTTTCTAGTAGGTAGTTAAACTGATGTCTATGTCTGTGTATGTAGTTGACATCTGACATCTACATTTGCTGAGTGGCCTACAATGTCTGTGTGGATACTGGATAGGTACCAGGTATATTGATGTCTATATCTGTGTGAATAGGTACCGGTATATTGATGTCTATGTGTTTGGGGTTACCTATGATGTCTGTATGGGTAGGTATATAAATGTCTTTGTCTCTGAAGTGGCCTATGATGTCTGTATGAGTAGGTATATAAATGTCTTTGTCTCTGAAGTGGCCTATGATGTCTGTATGGGTAGGTATATAAATTTCTACATTTGTGGGTTGACCTATGATTTTGATGTTAGGTATATTGATGTGTTTATCTGTGGGTGACATACAATGTCTGTTTGAGTAGGTATACATGTACTGACGTTATTGTCTATAGGTCAACCTATTAATTATGTATATATGTATTCTACTAGCAATTATACATGATTTTTTTTTTTGAAACAACTACATGTATATGTTTTAAAAAAAAATTTCTTGATATGAGATTTATGAATTTGGATTTAAAAGATGTGATGGGGCCAGTTGGAGCTGTATATTTCCATTTTTATTTGATTATTGGGTGTTTCTTTTGTTAAGGTTTTACGGGGCTGGATGCAGCGGACCATGGATTTCGGGTGATTGCTCTGGACGATGCTTGTCGTGGTGTAGACTTGCAGCACATAGAGGACATGAAGAAATCACTGCAGGACAAAGGGGCCATTATAATCAACACCTGTAAGGTGAGTCATTATAATGAAAAATCTACAAGGTAGGTCAATTTAATGAATATATACCAGGTAGGTCACTACTATGAATACCTTCAAGGTAGGTCAATATTATAAATACATGCAAGACAGGTCACCATTGGAAATACCTGTAAGGTGGGCCAATATTATAAATAACTGTAATGTAGGCATTATTATTAATATCTGTAAGGTGGGCCATTGTTATAAATGATAATAAATATTTTTTTTGTATTTAAGGTGAAGGATATAGTAGAGGGATCTGACCGTCCTCCAAAGCTCGGGCTCCAGACGGCACGGAATGTGGCCCTGGCACGAACATTAGTCAATAACAATAAGGTTCACCCAACGTAATTATCTCCCTTTCAATTCAGCTCTTCTGTGTAGAGACTGTGTGTTTAATAACATCCATCCTCAGCTTGTGTACAAGTGCAATGTTGACGTCTGTCTATTTCACTTCCTCCTGGATTATTGATGTTTTTTTTTCTTTGATTCTGTATTTCAGAATGTTTTGATTGCATACACTTAAAATAAAGATTATTAATAATTTATTTTAGAAAGTCAGATGCTAGTGAATAGTATTTCTAGTCATAAACTTTCTTAGTAATTTCTTTTTAATGGGGTTTTATTTCTGTTCATGAATATATTTTTTTCAGTTAATTGAACCTTAATTATTTTAAAATGTATAGCTTACTATTTTTATTGATGAATTTTTGTTTAATGTCTTTATGATATACATTTTTTTTTATAGATTCTTGTACTTAATAAGCATTATGATTTGTCAGGTTTATATTTTTAGCTCACCTGAGCCGAAGGCTCAAGTGAGCTTTTCTGATCACATTTTGTCCGGCGTCCGTCTGTCTGTCCGTCTGTCTGTCCGTCTGTCTGTCTGTCTGTAAACTTTTCACATTTTCGACTTCTTCTCAAGAACCACTGGGCCAATTTCAACCAAACTTGCCACAAAGCATCCTTGGGTGAAGGGGATTCAAGTTTGTTCAAATAAAGGGCCACGCCTTCATTCAAGGGGAGATAATTGGGAATTAATGAAAATTTGGTGGTATGTTTTAAAAATCTTCTTCTCCAGAACCACTGTGCCAGGAAAGATGAATCTTATAGGGAAACAAGGTAGTGTAGATTCAAATTTGTTCAAATCATGACCCCCGGGGGTAGGGCGGGGCCACAATGGCCGACCAAAGTTTTACATAGAAATATATAGGAAAATTCTTTAAAAAGCTTCTTCTCAAGAATAACAAAGCCATAATTGATCATATTTATATGGAAGCATCATTAGGTAGTGTAGATTCAAGTTTGTTCAAATCATGACCCCCGGGGTTAGGGTGGGGTCATAATGGCCGACCAAAGTTTTACATAGGAATATATAGGAAAATTCTTTAAAAATCTTCTTCTCAAGAATAACAAAGCCATAATTGATCATATTTATATGGAAGCATCATTAGGTAGTGTAGATTCAAGTTTGTTCAAATCATGACCCCCAAGGGTAGGGCGGGGTCATAATGGTCGACCAAAGTTTTACATAGAAATATATAGGAAAATTCTTTAAAAATCTTCTTCTCAAGAATAGCAAAGCCATAATTGATCATATTTATATGGAAGCATCCTCAGGTAGTGTAGATTCAAGTTTGTTCAAATCATGACCCCCGGGGGTAGGGCGGGGCCACAATGGCCGACCAAAGTTTTACATAGAAATATATAGGAAAATTCTTGAAAAATCTTCTTCTCAAGAATAACAAAGCCATAATTGATTATATTTATATGGCAGCATCCTCAGGTAGTAGATTCAAGTTTGTTCAAATCATGACCCCCGGGGGTAGGGTGGGGTCACAATGGCTGACCAAAGTTTTACATGAAATATATGGGAAAATTCTTTAAAAATCTTTTTCTCAAGAATAGCAAAGCCATGATTGGTCATGGGGCTACTTTTGGATTTAAACTTATCAATAATAAACCAATTTTCTTCAGAGTGCTCAGGTGAGCGATGTGGCCCATGGGCCTCTTGTTTTAAAATATACATTCTTCCCCCCCCCTAAATTTCCGACACTTACACTGCATAGGAAACTTACTAGGAGGTGTTGAAGAGTTGTATATTCAGAGAAGTAAATGATAGTATGATATTACAATGTCAGGAAAATAGATATACCTGTCCATTAAATGAGGGATTTTAGCAACATACAAATTCATTTTATTTTAAAATTGTGCATTTAATTATTATCATGCTGCAGTTTTAGCAATTTACAGGATAAAATTATTTTCTAGGACAAAATATTTTTTCAATGCCAAGACCATAGCTAATTTTGGCAAAATTGGATGGCGGCTAAAAATTTTATTTTTACGGTTTCCAAGTTTTCACCCACCTCAGTAAAGTTTATGTAGATCTTATTTTTTACTTTCTCCTTTTTGTATTTTAATGACTTCAAGCTCCTCTGTTTTGATTCTCACTAACTAAATAGAATTGATCTGACAGTAAGAATACTCAAGGTTTTGTGAATGATTTCATTCCTAATTATGAATGTTTATATAACACATGTGTACATAGTCCATATCGCTATTGAATTCCCATCTTGTCTTCACAGTATACATTTATTCAGTGTATTTCCCCTACAGTTTTGGTATTGTATTTCACGAATTACTACCAGAAGGTGCATTTCACATTGTGCTTCACATTTGCTCTTGTAAATGACCTCAAAGTACAGAATCTAATGCAGAAAGATTTTGAATATTTATATAAAGATGTACATTACAATGAAATAGGCATAAAATTATTAAGTGGTGAACAATTATAAGTAGATTATTGGGCCATCTTTAAAAAATTGTTTGGTTGCCCTCTCCTGACAGACTGACTAAAAATGACCAGACTCAAAACTTTTTTTTTACATTCCAGGACATAATTTTTTTTTTTTATGTCTTTAAATTCCTCTTATCATGCCAACAATTTGATTTTTTGTTTTTAGAAAAAAAGATTTTTCCACATACTGACTTTATAATTTTACCCTGAGTCGGGAGAGGGCAAGCAAACATTATTTTAAAGATGGCCTTGCTGTAATTATAAGTTTGCGTACTACATGTACAGTGGAGCCTCATTTAAGTTTGCGGATATGTGAACGGATACTGAATCACCAGTTAAACAAAACAATATAACATTTAAAATTTCTGTCCCGATGAAAAATGTATATGAAGGTCCACTGTATATGTAGTAACGCATGTGTATATAGTACATGTTTAAGATTTTGTAATGCATACCAGTTTATGTTGTAATTCTGCATTAATTACCCTGGAAGTTAAAGTACAGTTAAAAAAATACAACAATGCTACATAAAGTCAATAATTTTATTACCTCATACTGAAAATGTAAGTTTTTAGTGGTCCCGACATATACAGTGTACTATCTATGTATGAAAGCTTAACATGATCTTTCAGTTTTAATTTTTTAAAAATTTTATGTTGTTGTTATTTTGCATTTAGCACTGATGTTAATCACATTTTGAGTTGACTTAGTGAATGGTTCACGTTGTTGTTTGTCACTGACAAACTGTGATAAAGCTATACATATTTTACTTTTTAAAAAATCAAATTGATTTGTGATTCCTGTACATTATATAAATGTATTGTATTTATTATTTGTTTCACATCAATGCTATGTGTTCTCTAATGAATCTTAATTAAATGTTTATTTACTGTTGTCTGAACCTTGTTTTTTTTTTCCTTTTATATGCATTCCTCCATGGCAATGAATTTTCGTTCTATGTATAAAGGGCAGTAACTCTTTCACAATTGCTACCATAATGATATTTATGTTTACTGTACATAGTACAAATTAATCATGAAACTACAATGATGCACATTGAAGTGGTAAAATTTTTCATATGAATAGAATTTGTTTTTCTTTAAGGTGAGGCCAAATGTTACAAAATGACATGCCCATTTCATTAGATATGGGAAAAAGGTATTCATTGCATTGCTTTAAGATTCTCCATTCTCTATGGCCAGCAACAAGTTTTGCTAAAATTAAGATTTTATGGTGTAAGGACTAAGGAGAGAGTTGGATACTCTCCACTTGTACAGATTATATATTGCAAGGATTATATCTGGAATCATGAATTTTTCATGTTTATAGAAATTATCACAACACATGTATTGGTCGAACACATGACTATTCAATGTTTATGTGGAATCCCAATTAGATTGAATGTACCCCCTGGTAGTATATATGGAATACTTTTTTACAGGTATTCCAACTGAACCTTTTTTTTTTCCTTCTAAAGAGAAGAGAATGTTTTTATCTGACAATCAATATTCATAACATTTCATTCGAGTGGAAAATTTTACCTCCTCAATGGGCATCAATGTGATCTTGATATATAAAGAGGAATGAGTTAGATTTGATTTCTCAATTGAAATAGTTAACACTGGTATCTCAAACATGGATATCTTTGAATATCTTGAATATGTCAACGTGATCTGAAGTCTGAACAGCTTATTATTATTCCCCCGCTGCGGATGAGGGGGGGGTATAATGTTTTCCTTGTGGGTCTGTCCATAACATTTTTAAATTTTCGTCAAAGTTTTCTCAGCAATTACTCATTACAGATGCTTGAAATTTTTTCACATTCTTTGCTGAGGCATGCCTCAACTTCCTAGTATTTATCGGTGCATCTGCCTTTAACTGAACTTGTGTATTTTAACATGATAGTGAATATTCACATCAGACCGGGGGTATTACTAGTGAGCATTGGCTCACAAACTTCTTGTTTAAGTATTTTACCCCTGATATCTTGAATCCTTAGATATCATTGGATATCTTGATGTTTTTATCGGTTCCATTGAGTATGAGATGATGAGGTGTTAGAGTAAGAAGAAATGTTAAGATTCATTAGTTGGGGGCATGAACCATTTTAATGAGCATTTTTATCCTGAATCAAATGTAAAAAATTACATTTATTATTAAAAAAAGGTGGGAGGGGGGGTGCTGTTGTCCTTCACCCCTACACCTCACCCAATCTGAATGAAATCAGATCTTTGTTATGCTCTGAAATTCTAATGGTCACTGTACAGCATAACAAAGATCTGATTTTCATCAGATTGACAGCTCACCCCAGGTTTTATGTGCCTGAATGTTATGGCAATGCACCTCTGTGGAACTGGGGTGGAATGAAATAACTGTATTATCAATTTTCAAAGATGAATATGACCAACTTTTTTCTTTCTTTTTTTCCATTCATGTAGCATGTTTATTTAAATATATGCAGAGAAATAATCAAGATTAAATATAAGACACTTTAACCCATATTGTCAATATTGTACTTATTTGCAAATGTTTCTTTGATAAAATTATACTTTAACTGACCAAATATCTGTTGTTTACTAGGACCCCCCCCCCCACATAAAAAAAAAAAAAAATTCAGGTTCCACCGAGATTTGAACTCGGATCGCTGGATTCAGAGTCCAGAGTGCTAACCATTACACCATGGAACCTTCTTATAAACTGTCATTCAAATATTATTCAAACTAGTAATAAATTATCCCTCGATGCAAACACAGAATGCAGTCAATATTTTGCTGCAGATTGACAGATATCATCAAAGAATAAATGACACTGTAAGGCATTATTATCACAATTATACCTGTGTAGTACATGACTATGAATATGTGTTTATTGACCTATGTTTGACATGCATACGTAATAATGTAAACATAGTTCAACCAATCAAATCAGTCAAAATTTGGGGAACTCCACTTTCCGCGAAAAAGATAGACGATACGACGATTAGCACCACTGCTATATTTATACCTAGCAATTTACAGGTGTGACGGTTGTGTACCTGTGATCAGAACAAGTTTATGTGAGTAGATCTCTCTGTTTTGTCAGTTTTTATGAATTTGATTGTATTTTTGTACAACATCTGTATTGTAAGCATTGGTAAGGGAGGGTGCTTCTTTGAATATTACTCCAACTTGGCGCTGACTCAGAATCTGGCGATTTTCTGAAGTCGAGTGGGAGGGTCTTTTAACAGTATTTGTTTGTTTAGTCATACCGGATATATTTTTATTATTTACGCACAATATAAATTCACAATCATTGCAAAATACACAAGATATAAGAGAATCAACTTTCGATATTGCATATATATTGATTTATAACCTTTGACCTGAATATGTTTTGTAAACATGATAAACACAACACAAGTTTGCCATATTGTCAACACTTGATATTGAAATTAGAGTGCAATTTAGAGTGCTGATAAGTATTCAATAGAAAAATGTTCATATTTGTAAGAAAAGATAATGCGAATATGAGCACACATATGGGCATATATCTATATATATATGTTTAATGTACAAATTTTTGTATGACATGTACTTCTTTTCTCAAACTAATAATGACAAAAATTACAAAACTGCTGCTGGCAAGCATAAAATTTTATCCTCGGGGCTGTCATTAGTAAACTGTTTCCTAAAGACGTCAGTACTGCCAGTTAAACTACCCCATAAGCTTAATTGTATTAGAAAAAACAGACCAGGCTACTTAGCATATACCTGGCTGTCTTGTTCTCAGACTAAACCCTGGGGGACAAGGTAACAAGCATGTGAAGTGTTGGGGACGTTTAATGCTTTCTTCATTATATAGGCAGTGGTGCATTGTTAATGTACGCATATTTTGTTTCATTGATGGCATTAGTTTTCTGATTGTGTGCATTTTTATACATGCATGTGTTTTTTAGGCCTTGCTTGTACATATTTGAGAACGTATAAACTTTCTATGCTTGGCTAATGAACCAGGGAATAAATTAGGATTTTGTTTAAGAGAGTTCCCTGTGTTACATTTTATCAGTATACTGCATAAACTATAGATCAACATTTTTGGGAGTCGGGGTGGAACCCCCTTTATCTGCATCATGTTCCATAATACTTCTGTACCCGTCAAAATATGTTTGCTGATATGATAGAATTTATGTAACAGTTTGAAATTAATCTTAGAGAAAATTACGTTTACTTATTTTATATATAATTATTAATTTATTAACGTCACAGAATTGAGAGAGAAAGGGGAGAGAAAGAAACTTAAATTGAATTCCTCTTGATCATCATGATTATTAGCTGAGCATTGTAGACTAGGTGACACTTTATAATTCACCTTCATCAATTTGACTTTCAACTTAAGATGTGCTGATGAAGGTCATTGCTATTCACAGAGGATCTCTATTTTAAAGTCATGCTCAAGGTTACAAAGTTCCTAGATCAAGAGAGCTCCCTATATGGTATTAGTAGTGAAAAGATTTTTGTCTTTTTATCATTTTAAAATTCATGTCCCTGAATGAAACGTAGTAAGGTATCTTGTGTGATCTGGTTTCAGCCTTTTTGACACTCCATCTTGTCATTAGAAACCCACTACATCATAATCATGTATATCCAGAGGCGAAGGTATTGTGTAAATTTTAAGATATTATATATTTAGATAAACATTTTTTAAATGTGCCCAGTCTCTACGTTATTGAGGAATCGTGTAGGACCTGATACAGTGTAAACAATATAAGCCAGATCATCTCTGATTTATTATTGACATGCATGTAAAATTTCCAGACAGCTGTGATTTCACCAAGCAGGAAAAACACGGGACGAAAGTTGTCTCCCTCCACGGTTATGGTTACCTCCCTGTTTGGTGACTTTTGTGGGTAAAACATCGAACACTTAGTGTCAATAGCTGAGTAGTGATATATGATGCAATATAGATTACACTTTTATGACCAACGCTCTACATGAATCATCTTGGGCCATGTCAGGGAGAGAGGGACCGGCCTAATATAGCTCTCTCAGGTAAATACCAACATTGGTGGTTAAGTATGTACTGTAGTACTGTGGGGATTTGGCTCGGTGTTTCCTCCCCTCTGCAGGTGCTTGTGAGCTGACAGGACGCGCGTCTCTAAGTGTCATCGGATGTATGTTTCCTGTGTGTTGTGTAGGCTTGATTTGGGATTATTGTGAGGTTATCCGGAGATACATCAAGGGCCGGCAAGAAGGAAAATATTATACTATATCTGGCAAAACAAGTTATGGAGATAAGGATATGATTGTATTTTGGAGAGCATTAATGATAAATAAGGGAGTAACCTATGGTTTTTATTGTACAGTGTCTTACACTTTGATATCTTTAATGTATGTTGTGAAGTTTCCCTGCGATGAACCCCGATGATGTTGATGACTGTTTACAATGTATCTTATGTTTGTGTTCAGACAGTCTAACATTTTTCATTTGTGCAAAGTGTTCGATTAGTTTTCTATCTGACTGACATTTTTGACGGATATTAAAATCAGTGGATCATGGATGCTATGCTGAAATCTCTTTATTGTGATCTCAAGCAGGTAAGGATAAAATTTGGAATCCATATACACAACTCTATACACCAGAGAAGGACTCTTACATGTATTCAGACACTAACATCCCTTGGAAAAACAACCGTCAAAAAATTAGGCAATCCTGTCTTAAAATTTCTGTTGACAGTGCAATCTGGTTTCTTCCTAATACTCGGTTTTACAATAATCTAGACATATATAGCCTCTTATTTTGCAACATAATATGGGTACTGATCACTAACAAATTTAAAAATGAGTCAGAATTTTCTTTACCACACCTCAATTATAAATTTTCTTCCTTGCATAATTTTGCAATTACTACGTTTGACCTATGAATTTTGACACTTGATAAAAGATTTGTACTTAAAAGTTTCCTTGTGCAAAAGTTAGCAAGTACTAACAACCATACAAAGTGGAATTGCTGACGGGCTATCGAAAAGTTGACCAATTTTGCTGCAACAATGCAAAGTTTACAAACTGTCCTCTTCTGAAATACACCGATGCTTGGAGGTCCATTATTTGGCCATAAAACATTAATACCTGAAGAGAAAATGTCTCTGTATCATCTACATCTTAATTGAACTGAGTTAAATTTTATGGAGGGTACCTGAAGATGTGATAGTAAGGGGCCTTTTGTGAGTGACCTGAATACAGTTTTATTGTTGTGGACCTCTCAATTATCTACAAGAACTACATATATCACAGACAATGGGTAGATAAATAGTTTACCTGGCTTGGTAAAAATAGACCCTGAACCTCATGCAAGGGGTGATTCAGAGAAATATTGCACTGTAAGACATTCATGCTTCAATGCATTGACATAAGGATAGACATGGGAATTACCCAATTTAATTTTCTTTTTTTCTTTCATTTTAAATTTTTTTTGCGTCAAATTTTTATGGATTGAACCATTTGAAAAATGCAATTAAATAGAAAGAAAAAAACTATCAGTAAAATGAATGTATAATGACATTGGTCCCTAAATTTGTATCGGTGTACACTGATTCTGATACATTACTCAGGTGATACTCAGGATGTCCTGAATAATTCATAATCCATTGTTCAGCCGCGTGATGCTTTATTACACATATTTCCATCATGTCTCTTTATATCTACATGACTAAGATAGGTATCATATATTTTCATATTTATATACCATTGACCTTCTATAACAGACTTTTTTGTTATAAAACTTTAAATTTCGTTTGATTCAATAATGTCTCCGTGAGGCAATAATTGGATTACCTGTGACGGGCTATATAAATGAATCACATTCATGCGTGTTGTTGTTGACATAGTACATTTCAGACATATATGTACTTAGTTGCATGACTTCAGGATAAGTGCCCTTAAGAAGAATGTAACATAGGATTTTTAGCTGGCTCAGTATAGGACGTAGTCTTCCGTTGTCGATGGCTCATCTATGTCTGAATCTGCTTTACTAAGCCTCCAGTGTACTTCAGAAAATGATCAATAAAAATTAGGTCTACTAATAAGGATGACAAGGCATAAGAATAAAGAAATGAAATATTCTAACAATTTTTATGAATATGAGGATAACTGTCATGGTGTGGACAGATCTGACTTCCAAATAAAATATATTTTGTTCTTATGCATATTTAGCAGCAAACTTTTAATTTTGCAATTGCTGCAAGTCTGCATTAATCAAGTTTTGCAGAGGTAGACAAACTAATACATGTAGTTCAAAAAATAAAAATATACTCTTTCAGAGAGAGAGAGAGAGAGAGAGAGAGAGAGAGAGAGAGCTAGGACTCTTGTATGTACTATACATTAAATATATGATCAAGCACAGACTTATGTTCATCAATGCATGACAAATGATGTTAAGTCTCCATGTAAACAAGCAGTCTGGATATATATCCTTATAAGTCTCGATCATTATTTTGTCATACATCATGGAGTTGTGACATTGAGGTATATTGGTAAACAGGTGTCACCTGATTAATAAACAACAGTTAATTTTATCTATCACAGATAATACACTTTAAGTTAATAAGTACCATACTCAAAATCAACAAAAAATTTACATTTCTCATCAACTCTTAATACTTCCATAATACACCCCTCCTCTATCTCTCCATCCATGTTAAGTAGTCACCCACTCATTTTATCTGTGTCTTTTTTCATCCACCTCCTGTAAAACATTTTGTACAGAGAAAAAAACTTACATGCAAACTAAATAAGCATTAAGTTGTCAATTCATTCACATTATAAAACTATATTATTACCGTATAAGTAGAATTTTTAGCGAGGATTTAATTTTGGCATTATTAGCGAGGGTCCTGAGATCGCTAAAATTAAATATCGCTAAAAATTTATTGCATTTGATTTGTAACAGCTTCTTTAGTTAACATTTTAAAATCGCTAAAGTTTCCTCTCGCTAAAAATAAATTACCATTTTTAGGGAGAAATCGCTAAATTTGCGTCTTGCTAAAATTTCCACTTATACGGTACTAGTATTCTGATATGTACATGCAACAGGAGAGGAGAAACTACAATGTATATGAATTGACTTAGAATCAAGACTCCTGCACCACTTAAGTCAGGTGCTCTAGCGACTTAGCTACCCAGACCAATATCCATGGCCCAAACCATTACAGAGCTGCAAACTCTTATGATTTTGGCGTAAGTCTTACGAAATTAGCGTCCAAAATACGCTTTACCATTTCTCTCTATATTTTTCTGATTTCTGTTTTTCTCCATCAAAGTTTATAATACCGGAATTTTCATAACTGGCATAACAGTTTCTACTATTATAATTAAATATTCATAATCCTTACAACCCTTGTTTGTATCGTCGTTTCGGTTTTAGCTATAGATGGCCGATCGCATTCATGTCAAAGTTTTAAAGTAAACAAAATGGAAACGGAACGTGCCTCAAATTGCTCCGATTGCATGTCCGTTTACAAAACATCTTCAGCGGCAGGAGGCCTAGGCGGTCCCCGGACTATGCCTTACTATTTTTCATTTCAGAATGTTGGCAGCTCTGCCATTACATTGACTAACTCCTTCAATCAGTAAGCTGTGTGGCAAAGTGGTAAGAGCATCTGCTCTAGAGTCACAGAGTAAGGAGTTAATCCTTAAGTCATTGGTTCAAATCCCATTGTGGGACATAGAGACCAGTCCTTTGGATGAAACTGTATAAACTTGGTCCCATGTCACAGTAGGTGCTGGCACGAAAGCATAGGTCAAAATTTGCAGCTCTCCACTAGCAAGTGGTAGTGCCTCCATATCAGTGAAAAATTCTCCAGAGGAACGTTAAATAACAAACAAACAAAACTCCTTCAATTGTCTTTGGCCTCAAAGACACAAGCAAATTTCTTATTTTCCCCTGGCAGGACTTTCATCTGCATGTCCAAGGATGGTTAATCCATCTGTAAAAGAAAAGGAGAAAATATATGATTGGACCATGCAAGAATTCCCAGGACCCCAATTGTATCACTAGTCAGGTGCTCTACTGACTGAGCTACCCAGGCCAATATCCACAGCCCAAAATACTTTTTATGTATTATACTCATATAAAACTTGAACAGCTGTTCTAAATCAGTCATATTATAAATAGAGGGCCTCCTGTTTTAAGTATTCATTACTAAGTAAGTGCCAATCAGTACTGGAATTTTGAACAAGTACCAGTTACTAGTGCATCAAAGTAAATTGGTGCAGGGGATATACATGAATTCTCTGTCACACAGAGCTTGACACTAGCTGTAAATCCTATGCATGTTGTAAGTGCCATCAAATCAATGTGTACAACTTGGACTTTTCACACACACACAAAGCAGTTAATAAAGCATGCACCCTCTAAATGTCATAAATCAGTTACAAGTACTGTTGTGGTATGTATACAGAGCAATTTTCCCAGGGAAAATGTTTGCCTCATTATTATTATTATAATCTTCATTAGCTAAAAATTCAATTTTCATAGATCTCCATAATGCAATCATTCATTGACATATATTAAAAAAAATAATTATTAAAAACAAATCAATATTCAAGACATTTCCTCCCAAATATAATACTCTGCATTCAGAATACAGATACGGTGTGGTCGGGAGCCCTACAAGAGGAATTAAGCCCTATATATGAGAGGGCCCTGGGCGTGACGCTGATTAATTATATCTATTTCCATCAGGTCATTCTTGATTAACCTCAGAACCACGCACAGCTGCACAGGATCACTGTTAGTACTGGGACAGAAAAATCAATCGGAGGGATTAAAATTTAAAACCCGGCTTCTCCATAGTGTTCAAAGCAAACACCTATCTTAATTTCATGTCTCTGTTCATCACTTGGCTGTGGTTAGGATGGTTTGGTGCGTGTGTACCCCATGACTATATGGTGGACAATCCCAGTATGAATCAGGCCTGTCATCGATTTATTCTCAAATTCGTAAACAAATCATCTGTCCCTAAAAAATCTAAGCTAACTAGTTTTGTTGGTAATCTAATATGTCATAGATATCTGATAATCATATTCCAGTGTACCTGAGAAAGGTGCTATATTCTTCCATTAATTATGCAACATCTGCGTTATAACTACTGTTTTACATTGGTATACTGTGGGACATCATTAGAGTGGGACACCTGATGGTACTATTAGGGAATTATATGCACAATCAATTGACCATAATCGGTCATCTTTTAGTCAGGCCAGACTACTGGTGCATGAACTGTCCTTCTAGGGCCCGAACTGTCATGCATGGTTAATTCAGTGGTGAAGACCTGTAAAAAGTAAGAGTCTCGCTTTTATAAGGCTCATCCATATAAAAACTTAATAGCTGGTAAAATGTAATTGTAGAGATATGACCATAAGAATTCACTGCTTGTCAGCTTTTATCACATGTTATGATACCAGGTGATTGGTCCATCGGTGACTAAAATGACTATAAGGTCATTATTCAACATTTGATGTATGATTGCTTCAGTCCTCCCTCAAAAGTTCAGGCCATTTCTTGGACACATTTATCACAATCTTATTATGTACAGAGA